CAAAAATAAGCCTAATAACAGATTTCTTATTGGGAACAATGCAAGTGAGAAGTTAGTGGAGCTACATTTTTTAAGTACTGAAAGATCAATTGAGAATTTATATCCGATGAAAATATCTATTAAAATGATAACGAATTTTTAAAATTTGAATTAAAAACATTTTAAATAGTTGATACTCAGTTAATATAACATAGATATGACTAACATTTTGCAAATTTATTCATAGTAACACTGTACTTTGTATGACATGATGTAAAAGATATCCATATTGAAATTTGCCCCATCCTGATCCCTGCTCAGCTTCTTTATTCAGCAAGTATCACTTTGCCTTCTATTTGTCAGTTGTAGTTCATCTAGTATTCTGCAGTTGTAATAGTAATGTTACTATAGTAACAAAGTTTATACTGATAATCTTCCTCATACACGGTGTAAACCTGAGTTTATTATTCATGCTTTTTTCATTCTATCCTAATTTTTGTTAAGTCAGAAAGAAAGAACTCAAAAATCACAATCCATAGGAATAAAATAATTTATAAAGGGCTAACCTATTAAATATTTATCAATTGTAACCACTGCTTTTTCTCCCACTTGAGAAAATCTGTGATAATTAAGGTAAATGAGAATGAACAGCTGTAAGGATAATCTTGGATTTGTTCTTATTTTTTAGCTAAATCACTCATAAATTTTGTTACTTATAGTAGTGAATTACATATGATGCATCTTGTAACTCCTTTCAAAACATTACTATGTTGAAATCACCACAGTTGAATTGCTGCTGGGTAGAACAACCACTCAGTTCTTGTAGTAAACCTTTCCTATATCTGTGGTTAGTAGTCATGTTTTGATTTCATGGAAGCTTTGAAGATAACATGTAGATTCCAAGAAAATCAGTATATGCAATATGTGTTTATAATATATGCATAGAAATTCTGCAAGAGATGAGAAAGGATAGTGCCAATAATAAAATTTAAAATTGAATATTTGTTGTCAACACAATGAAAGAAGGGGAAAAATAAGCAGAGTAATGCCAGTTCTGTCAATTTTAAAACAAGCCCCCAGATGAAGTGGATTGTATTACATGTAGTATTTTAGATAGTACTATTGTGTCTTCATCTCTTAGGTTTGGACTATGAAATCAAATTCCTTGATAAATACTCCTTTATCACATCTCAATGATAGTCCTTAAAAAATGAGGAAATATTACTTTCTAACTGTTAAAATATGAAACCTACCTTTGCCTGTTTTCCTTTTACTTATATTTAATGGCACTACTCAGATAAATCTAATTGCTTTGAAGTAATCATAAATAACCTTCATGGGACCTCTTGTTTCAGAGTTTTGTTGTAAGACTGTAGCACATAGAAAGACTGCCAGTTTTCAGAACTATAAAGAAACCTCTCCGCAATGTGAACAAGGTAGGTGGGTGTCAGGATGACATGACCACATACTCCTCTACCAACGTGCTCAGGCTGTTTTTTGTTCTGTTGTTTTGATGAACAGTTGAATGATATTTTGGATTTCTCTACTGTATGACTGTTTAAAGTTGGGAAGTAAGGAATAAAGCAGATAGAAGGAAATGGTTCCTGCAGCTTAGTTCTTTTAAGCCCTTCCCTGAGACAGTCTAAACAATTCATTATCAAATAATTTTTGTTACAGATTGACTGTTATGCATTTAGGTAGTATAAAAGTCAAGTTAGTATTTATATTTAGTAAAATAATACTTTGTTCCAAATATAAGATTATGAAGCCCTCATCAAGAAGTTAGTAGTTTTATCTGGGAGAGAAAGTTTACACCTTAAATATTTTTAAACTTAAATTATATTTATTTCTGATTAAGTACAAAAGCCACAGGGTACAACATTGGAAAGGTACAAAGAGTATATGGTAGAGAGTCTTCCTCCCACCCTAGTGTCTCAAACCCCCAGTGGCAGCCAGTAATTTGAATTTTTATCCTTCTAGAGACACTTTATCACATAAAAGGAAATGAGTATGTGTATTATCTTTTATTGTTGTTTTTGCCCACAATAATAAATACACTGTTCTGTACCTTAGCCATGTATTTTAGATATCATTATATATCTGTGCATATAGAACATCCTCATTTTTTTATGACTACATGCATACTGTGTTTGGATATGCCATAATTTACCTAGTTCCCTATTCATGAACATTTAGGTTGCTTCAACCTTTTGCTATTAAAAAGAATGTGGTAGTGAATGACCTTGTACATGTGTTGTTTTGCTCATATCCATAGGGTAACATACTAGAATTAGAATTATTAGATTCAAGCATATGTGTACTTAAATTTTTTTGATTGATAGTGCAAAACTGGCCATACACCTTACCTGGATAGGTTTTTTGTTTGTTCTTAACTGTCTAATTAATAAACAATAAAATTCACAGTTTTAAGTGTACAACTTGTTGGGAAGGTTATGCCAGTTTGCACTATAACTGGCAGTGCATGATAATGCCTTTATGTCATATTCTCAGAACACCATGTTGATAACTTTTTAGTTTTTATATCTTTGCCAATACTCAAGATGAGAATGATATCGTGATAGTTTTGTTTACTATTATTTCTAAATACAACTTAACATACAATAAAGTTCACATGCTGTAAGTGTACAGTAAATGTTCAGTATCCTAGAATGCTCTCATCTGTCCTTCACTAACCCCCACCACCACCAAAAAAAAGGTAGCCACTATTCTGACCTATCTCCATAGATTGTTAGCCTGTTTTTGAACTTCATATAAAGGGACTCATGTAGATTATACATTTTTTTAACTTTTTAAAATTGAAGTATAGTTAGTTTGCAATGTTGTGTTAGTTTCAGGTGCACAGCAAAGTGATTCAGTTGTATATCTTTATATATCTGTTTTTCAGATTCTTTTCCATTCATTATAGGTTATTATAAGAGATTGAAAAGAGTTCCCTGTCCTTTACCGTAAGTTCTTTTTATCTGTTTTATATAGTAGTGTGTATATGTTAATCCCAAACTCTTAATTTATCCCTGCTCCCTCGCCAACTATACGTTTTTGTGTCTGTTTTTTTTTTCTGTGTTATACATGAGATTCAGTCATGTTGTAAGTAGCTGTAATTTATTCTTTTTCATTGCTGTGATTCAATTACTTGAATATACCACAATTATCTTTTCTACTACTTACAGATTTTTGTTTGCTTCTGTTTTCAGCTTTTATGAATAAAACTTCTGTGAGCATTCTTGTACATATCTTGAAGGGGTTTAGCCCTGTTTCTTTTGGCTGTTTTCCTTTTCTGGGTAGGTTTTGTTTTTAATTGAGGTCTGACTTGTAAACAATAGAATTCACCAACTTGTAGTGAACAGTTTGTTAGGAAACAGTTCTCTCTGGGTCTCTTGTATTTCTTCATGTCTTATGAGCAAAAGCTCTGACTGCCTCTTTTCCAAACTATCTTTTCAAGGATATTGGAAGATAGAAATGGTGGCTCTCCATAAAACAAAGGGCAGGTTTGCGTATAGCCTTCGAAAATAGAGCTAATGTCTCCCTCCAGAGTTAAGGGCAGGCATGTTTACCGCCATTTTAAAAGATTCAGGTTTCTAAGAAGCTTAGTCTTCCTCTCCTGTAACACAACCCACTACAAGTACAGGTGTTACCTGACTCTTTTCACAGTGCTCTGTGGGATTTGAGGTTCACACAGCTGGCACAAGAAAATGCTGATAACTCTGACTATTACTCCTGGTATGAGTAATAAAGTCATTTGTCTCTGACTCAGGAGTCTCATGTCTTTTGCCAGTATTCAAGAAACTGGCAGGCTGACTTGTTAGCTTTGCAAGTAGGATCAAATCTCAGAGCCTTCACAATTCTTGACACAATTTGGTAAATTTTGACAAATGTATAGAATCTTGTTGTCACCACCACAATCAGGTCGTACCACATTTCTGTCATCCTCAGATGTGCCCCTTCCTTTGTGCCCCTTAACATCAATTCCCTTTCCCCACCTCAGCCCCAGACAACCCCTGATCTGCTTTTTGTCACCCTAGTTTTGCCATTTGTTAAGTTTCCTATATATAGAATTTTACATTACATAGCTTGTTGTGTTTGGCTTCTTTCATTCAGAATAATGCTCTTGAAAGTCATTCATACTATTACATGTATCACTAGTTTGTTCCCTTTTGTTGCTGATGATATTCTGTGGTATGGATATACCGTTGTTTGGATATTTGTTTATCCATTCACCAGTTGATTGACATTTGGATTGTTTCTAGTTTGTGACTATTATGAATAAAACGCTATGAACATTTGAGTATGTCTTCATGTGGGCATATATTTTTATTTCTCTTGGGTACTTTCTTAGGAGTGGACATGCTGAGTCTTATGATGTGCTTTTAACTTGGTAAAGAACTGCCAAATTGTTTCCCAGAGTGTCTGTAACATCTTACATTCCTATTTGGTTAGTTTTAATTTGTATCTCATCATGAGTGAGGCTGAAAGTATTTCATTTGTTTGAGTTGCTCGTATTTCCTTCTCTATAAATTTCCTGTTAACTCAATGTTGCCTTTCTCCTAAGTGTTGGAATTTTTTAGTGATTTGTAGGCATTCTTAATTTATCAGGGGATATTTTTGGTCATGCTATGAATTTTAAACTGTTTTTCCATTTTGTCAAGTATCTTTTGAAGGTGGTAATGGTGGGTTTTGCCATGTAGAAATTTTTCTTTCTGAAGCTTTCAGTCTCACAGATAATTTACTAATAGTACAAGACTTCATAATACTGAAAGAGAATTTCTCTTTCAGTTAACCTTAAAGTATAAATTATGTTTTCCAGCAATATTTTACATAGCCATAACTTCAGTGGAAATAAAGAAAAATATTCTAAAGACTTAAAACTTGTTCTCTGCATTCTCGTAAGAATTTTACCACCATTTAGAAAACAGATATACAATGGAAACAAGAGCTTTAGAAATTGTCTTAACTTATTATATGTAATAAGAAAAAATATTTAATATTACATATGTCTTTTACAGAAATATCTATGCAAGATGTTGACATTGCATACTTGGATAGTGCAAGCTTTGTTTATTTTCCTCACTACTGGATCTATAGGTAAGGTTCCTCCCAACCCCAAAAATTAGGTTTATGTATTTTATATGGTTATATAATAATGCTTATATATTTATTCGTTCTAGGATTATTATTGAGAAAATGATATCTTAAAAATGAATTTAAGAAGTAAAAATACTCTTCATAAATTATAATTTGTATAATTTGAGTTAAAAGACACTTAATCACTCAGTAATCCTAAATGCTATTTAGTTATACTAACAATAACTTTAAGATGGGGAAGGGAAAAAAATTATTTTAAATAAAGAAATAGGAGAAAATCTTGTTTTAGCACTTCACTCCTTAATAGCCAAATGTGTCACTGAGCAGCAGTGTGATTGTGACACCAGAATGAAGAGGTCACTTAGAGCAGTATTGCTCAGACTGATCCACAGCTTGATGCTGGTCTGAGAACTGGGTGGTTATTGTTCACAGTGAGATAAGCACAGAAATTAAGGAGAAATGTTTAGAAACTCTTTTAACAATTTGACATAGCCGTGACATTCAAGCATGTGATCAGTGGACTTGTCTCATCAAATATAAAACAAAAGTCTGTCTGCGAAAGATTGGGAGAAAAAAACCTAAACTGATCCTTCACCAGGATCGTAGTTTGAGAATCACTGCTCTAAATCAAACCCTCTTCAAATCCAGGAATGTAACCTCTTTTTAAACACTTCAAGTGGCACAAACTTTATGTTGCAATTTTTTCTTATTTAGAAAGCCTTTCCTTATTCTTGAACCCAAAAATTCCTCCTGTAACTTTTTCTCATTAATTGTTCTAAAGAAAGCTTCTAAAGTAAGAAATCCTTCTAAGGTAAGCCCACTTTACTTTCCCACTGTTGAACTCTCTAAGTATTGAAGGATTGCTTTCCTGTGTCTCTAACTCCTCTCTTCCCCAAACTAAACTTACCCAGTTGTCCTGATTCTTTACAGGACTTGGTTTCCAACCCTGCATGTCCAGGTTACTCTCCTAATTATTCTCTTGGTTTCCCATATCAGATTTAGACTGTAATACCATCCACCTCTCCCATTTACTGGCTGTGAGACTTTGTCCAGTCACTTAATCTGTGTCTCAGTTTCCTGCTCTGTAAGAGAGGGATAATAATGGTCCCTAACTCCTAGGGTTATTGTGAGAATTAAATGAGTTAATATACAGAAGGCATTTGGACAGTGCCTGGCCCACAGGAAGCATAAAAATATGTCAAAACTAGATGTGGTCTGAGTATAGTGACTTTATTACTTTGATCTGAACATCATTTTTATTAAAGCAACATAGGATTTTTTTGCCAGCTAAGATGTAGACCCCATTTCTTTGTGGAAGGAGTATCAGTCACTTTGTAAGACAAGCTTGTGGGATGGTATACATATATAGGTGTGACCTTCTTTGGAAAACAGGGTCTGCCGCAAGGACTGAGGACAGATACTTTAGCATACTACTCAAGACCCTCTTGTTGACTTTTTTTCTTAGTGACTTTTATATATGAGTAGTCAACCAATTTAAAAATCTGTTAGTTTAAATCTGTGTATTTGTTTTTATAGAAGAACAGTAGCTAAGTATCAAGAGTTTCATAATGTTCATTCTAATATCTGTTGTAGTATATTCTAATCCACAATTCTTCGTCTTGTCTATGTGGATATCCCAACTAACTTTATCCAGTACTTTTTTTTAAAATTAAAATGCTATATTTCTAAAACTCGATCTCAAGTGTCCTGGTAGCCCTGTAAAAATGGGCTTCATTTGGCATTGGATGGTTTCAGTGAGCCTGTTTTTCACTTTGAAAACTGGAACATTTGCCCATTTCTGGTACTTCTCTTATTCTATGTGATTAAAAATTATTGAGTGTCTGGTTATATCTTATGTTCTTTAGCACTCCAAAGTATATTTCATATGTACAGTTTCCTCTAATCACTGTGGAGAAAGTGAAACAGGAATGATTTTACCAAGGTCTAGGGAGTAAAGTAAGGTTTAGGGAGTTTCAAGGACTGGCTCAGTATCATAAGGTAACTTATTAGTATGCCACAAGATAGAAATTTAGAGTAATTTGTGCACATGACTTACAGTAGACATGTATAAATAATATCAAAGTCATGTAACTAGGCCACATTGTAAGTTTTCAGACAAAGAAGCAGACATTCTGACTCTGGACCTTATGGGCTTTATGAGAGATCTCAGGATTTCATTTGGGAGTATAATTTTGACTGCAAAAAATGTTTTTAATTCATCCTGCTGGCTTTGAGAGGTATGGAAATGAGAAAATAATTGTTTAGCTCTTTTAAAGTAGTTTTATCCTTTGTGCAGTGTAGCTTGGGACCAAGTTGGGAATTAGAAGAATCTGGCTGTTAATTGAGGTTGACTCTATAAAATGACTCTGTAAAAGTGTCTCAGTTTTCTTTATAAACTAAAGGGTTGAAGTAAATGATCACCAAGGTTTTTCTCAGTTTCATAATTCTGTGATTCCTGTGCCTTTTTACCTTAACTGCTAGAACCAGACACCCCTAAGGGACTCTTCAGACCCCATCAATGTGACTAGATTACTTGTCTCTGGAGAGTAGTAGTAACGATAATAGGCTACCATTTATTGGAGGCCTTTTGAATACTAGGCATCGTGGTAGGTTCTTTACATAAGTAATTTCTGATCTCAAAAAACTCTTCAAGATAGCCATTATTAACTTCATTTTCCAAATGAGGAAACTGACACTCAGCTAGAACTTCAAACTCCATTGGCAGATGGGATTCAGTAGAGAAAGCTGCCTTAAATTTCTGGACAGTGAGAATAGAGAAAGAGAATAGAGCCATCCCAAACAGAAGAATTTTTGTCTTGATGGTAATAGGTAGCCATTAAATAATTTAAAATAGGAAAATGGCATAATCAATTTTGAATAACGCTGGAGCAGTATGTAGGATAAACTGGAAGGTGGTCAAATTGTGGTATTAATATGATGGCCTGAGCTTCAGCAGCCAAAATGGGGTTGGTGAGAAGAGGTTGATCTACATTTAAAAATATAGAACCATCAAGACTCAGACTATTGGAGGAGGCTAATTAGAGAGAGATGTTGAAGTACCATAAGGTTATCTGGCCTAGATGACTAGATGGCAGTGGTGCTGTTAGCAGAAGTAGAGAAGTAAGAATAAGAAAGAAAAGTTTGGAAGGAACTCTGATGCGTGTAGTTTTAGACATGTTCATTTTGAAGTACCTACAGGATATCTCAGGTGGATGTGTCTTGTAAGCCATTGAAAGCATAGGAAGTTAGGGCCAGAGACAGGGGTTTGGATGTCATCAACATAAAGTAGGTGATAGTTAAAGTATTAGTTGTGTTTTTATTTTTTTTATGCAGTCTGATTCTTTGTTTTTAATATGGGATTTTATCCCATACGCTTATTGTTAAAACCAATATGTTTGGCCATCTTATTCTATTCTTTCCATTCTTTTATTGCTCCCTTGCTCTTTTCTTTGTTTTCTGATTTTGATATATGAGCAATGTACAGTATCTTTCCATGCCCTCATCCACACCTCCAACAGAAGTCAGCACTAGAGAGGAGCAGAGACCACTACCTTCCTGAGGGTCTAATTTAGACACTGGGTCTGAATCGAGGAACAGGATTGGTGGCAGAACAAGTATGAATCATGCTGCAGGCAAACTATATTTCCTAAAGCAAAGTTAGAATAGTATAAAAAGGGCTGAAGCTTGCATAGGAGTTTTTAAAAATCAGCTCCAACTGCCATACGATTTATGTATTTCTTTACATTTTTAGATATTAAATTCTGATCATATTAACTTTCACTGTTTCTTCTTTTTCTGTGCCTTTAGAGAGATTTTAATGAAGATTGAGGGACTGCATTGATACAAAATGTCATTTTATGCCAGAAAAATTCAGTCCATTTTATATTTTCTGTTACTATTCTTTTTCAGGCGAACTTCTAGAACCATGTGGTCATATCAGTCCTGAATCTCCAGTTGTACAACTTGGTTCTAATTTCACGGCAGTTTGTGTGCTAAAGGAAAAATGTATGGATTATTTTCATGTGAATGCTAATTATATTTTCTGGAAAACAAACCATGTTACTGTTCCTTATGAACAGTATACTATCATAAATAGAACAGCATCTAGTGTCACATTTACAAATATATCTTTATTAAATACTCAACTCACTTGCAACATTCGTACATTTGGACAGATTGATCAGAACGTTTATGGAATCAGGATAATCTCAGGCTGTAAGTTTTGTTTTACTTTTTTCTTACTTCAGTTAATGAATGTCTGTTGTCTGTTGAGCTTTATGAAATGCAGTAACTTGTTCGCTCAGTGACTTTAGACATCTTTATTTATTTTTTTAATATGGTAATTCTATGTTTAGTTTTTTGAGGAATCTCCAACTGTTCCATAGTGGCTGCACCAAATTACACTCCCACCAGCAGTGTAGGAAGGTTCCCTTTTCTCCGTACCCTCTCCAGCATTTATCGTTTATGGACTTTTGAATGATTAAAAAAAAAAGCGTAGAAGTGCAACTGCATTTGCATTACAGATAGACTGTAAGCCTAAAGAGTAACACAAGTTTTGTATTTTTCCTGAAATTCAAGCATCTGTCAGTTTTCTAGAGAAATACTTTGACATAAGACATCCCCTGAAAATACTGTTGAATTGATATCTCTGAATGTACTCAGAGTAACTTTCATTATCCCTTAACTGCTGAGAAATGCAATGTAAAGCTGTTACCTGAAGAAGGTGAATAAATACTGGAGAGAGTCCTTTTTCTGTGTTGAAGTAAATAAGTAAACTTAGTATGATCTAAGAGTGAATTACCAAATTTGTGTGGGCCACTTAAAATTACAATTTTGGCATTTGCTTTTTCTCCAGCAGAATTTGGGAAGGCAATAGAAGGAAATATAAATGAATTGTTTTTGCTTCTGTTTAATTGCCTCTTACAAACATGCAGATATTTTTTAAAATACACTTAATGGAGAAATAATGCTGTCCAGCTATAAATGAAAGTTGATTTTATGTAGACAATTTGAAATATACTAGTTAATGACAATTATGATAGAATATGTATGTTACTATCTAGGAAGAAGTTTGAGTTTAAATAAAAATTAATGTTTAGTCACCAGTCTTTCATTATGTCCTTGCTTTTTGCTTGGGTTTGTTTTTTCTACCTAGTTGTTTTAAATATCTTTGGTAGTAGATAAATTGCATGCTACTTGTGGGTACAAAACTTTTTGAAAATTGCTTATTTTTCCCTTTTAGTACCTCCAGAAAAACCTAAAAATTTGAGTTGTATTGTGAATGAAGGAAAGAAAATGATGTGTCAGTGGGATCCTGGAAGGGAAACATACCTGGAAACAAACTTCACTTTAAAATCTGAATGGCAAGTTATTTTAAATTTGTTGTATGCTGAATTTATTAAGTTAGCCTTTTGTGCTGGAATTTTTATTTTGTCAAGTAGTAGTATTAAAAGCAAATTTTTAAGCATTTTATTTAACCTTTTGTTTTTGGAACATCTGAAACATGAAAGTAGAAAGAATAGTAAAAGAAATCCTCATGTGCCTATCATCAAGCTTAAGAAATGATCAGCTCATGACCAGTCTTATTTTATATATACCCCACCCAGATTGTGTTAAAGAAAATCTCAGGTATCTTGTCGCCTCATCCATAAAAGATGCCTCTAAAATATAAGGACACTTTTTAAAAAACATAACTACATACCAGTATTATACACAAATATAATTGAAAACACTGTCACATTTTTAGTGTTTAAATTTCCCCTGTTGTCTCATAATTATATGTATAAATATTTTTATATAAATAGTCACCATATGTTGCAAATTGATAAGTCTTGTCTCTCCTAACCATTGTTTCCATCTACTTCTCTTTTTTTTGGTGGGGGCGGGGCAATTAGGTTGGTTTGTTTGTTTATTAATGGGAGGTACTGGGGATTGAACCCAGGACCTCATGTATGCTAAGCATGCTCTCTACAACTGAGCTATACCCACCCCTCTCTTTTCTTTCTTTCTCTTTGCAATTCAGTTGTTAAAATATTGATTATACATTGTTTAACACATTCCTCTATCCCTTTATTTTCTAAAGCTTACCAGTGGATCTAGATAATCAGATTTGGGGTGGTTATTGTTGTTGTTTTTCCAACAGTAGTTCATAATTCATAGGATTGATGTTAACTTCCATTAGGAACCACCATATAATGTTTGATTGTTTTTCTTACACTAAGATTGAGCAGTGGTTTCAAGTGTTGTCAGCCTGAACCATTCATTATAAAATTCCCCATTTTTTCCCAAACATAAAGAAAAGTTGAAAGAATTCTGCAGTGAATACTTATACATACTTATTACCTAGATTCTACAATTAACGTTTTACTATATTTGCTTTATCACATACCTATTTATGTATATCATTCTCTCTGCCTGTCAATCCATCTTTTTTTTTTTCAATTCCCATTTATTTTTGGCTCTTGGGGCAATGTCATCTTTTCAATATGAAAGCAAGCAGCAAATTCAACACAAAATAGAAATCTGAAGTGTAGAATAGGATAAAACCAAGGTTGGAGTGGGAAAGGCAATAACAAAAGTAAGAGATGAGATGTTGCCAAGAGATGGAGGGTATCCTGTCCCCTCTCTGGGGAATAACAAACATTTAGGCAGCGGCACGTGCCTTTCCAGATACATACAGAAAGGCTGGTATTCATTTTTTGTGTAAGAAAAGGTGGAGTTGGGGAGGACCTTTCTGGAGGCTTAATGACCAAGGCTAGTCTCTTGCTCCTCTTGACCCCCTTTTCTGAGCAGGGGAAAGAAAGAAATCCCAACACATGAAATCCATCTCTTTTTTTATGCATTTCAGAGTGAGTTGCAGACATTCTTATATTTCAGTCTTAAACTTAAGCATTTACAAAATTAACTATATTAATTAGCTAGATGTTTACAGGTATTTTTTGATTTTAGATAAAATTTATGTATCTCTAAAGATAATACTTACATATCCTAAGTGTATTGCTCATTGAGTTTTGACTAGTGACTGTAACTCAGACCCCTATCAAGGTATAGACATTACTAACGCCTTCATGCCCTTCCTGGTCAATCCCAATCACCACCCTATTTCACCCTACAGGGCAACTACTTGTCTGATTTTCTTTACTATAGATTTTGACCTGTTCCAGAATGTCATACAGATGGAATCACATAGTGTGTGCTCTTTTGTGAAAGGATTTATGACTCAGCAGAATGTTTTGAGGATTTAACCATGTTGCTTCCCATTAGTTTTTCACTTATAGATTTGAGTCATTGTCAATGATCATTATTTGTATATGAGGTACAAAATAGTGGTATTCTTTATCTTTTTTTAATCAGCTGAAATACTTAAAGAATACTTTTCTTCATCAACTGTTGATTACTGTGAGGTATGGTTCACGTAAGAGAAGCAAAATGGTTTCAGTGTTTTCCTTTTATTAACCAGTTACGTTGGTTCCCTAGCATCATCCAAAGGTAGATAATAAGGTGTTTTTCTCCTCATTATGAATTCTTACTTTAACATAGTTGATGTATTTTAATCCATTAAAGTTACTGTTCTTCTTGATACTTAAATTGTTGCATTTTTGGAACTTTTCAGATTGGCTCATCCTTTTGACACAATTTTCATTAGTCTTTGATAGCTTCCCGATTTCTGATATGACATAATGTTCCAGGCTCATCTTAATATATTTTCTGCCCCAGAACCAGAATCAGCCATTTCCCAAGTAGTCATGGGTCCATTTAGTGTGAAATACTATTTATAGACTGTAGCCTGGGTGCTGGGGAACTCACTGCTACTAGGTTGTTACTGTTTCTAGGCTTTTTCAGTGGAGAGAGCTAGGAATGTTTTTAAGGTAATATATATTATGAACTCATATTGATATTTCCAAGTTAAAATTCAGACTATGGGTTTTTACTTAATTCATCTAACATCTACATCTCCTTTTTTTCTGTGATGAAAACCTTAGTTCCCCAAAATACCAACATAATTATTCATTTGCTTTATTCCACAGTAAACACAATAGCTACAAAATAACAATTATAATGTTAGCATCAACAGTATGATTGCTGAAAAGAATTTTAAGAATGTTTTTCTTTCACCAAGGGTATAATTAAATTACTATTTTAGAGTTACTTGAAATAGTTTCTATGTGCTATACCCCCAACTCAGTACAAGAATTCATACGTTTCCTTTTGGTTTTGGTTTTTAGGAATTTTCTTAATTGTTTAAAATAATGAATTAATCCAAAAAGTCAGATTTCTAAAACAATATATATTTACAGAAGTCTCAGTTCCCTGTCTCCTCAACCTTATTTCCTCCCTCTCCCTAGAGGTTACCTGTTTTGGTTTGGTTTTGATTTATCCTTCTATTTTGAAAAACAGTGTGTGTATATATAAATATTAATTGTATGACATAAACATATGTGAATAAATATAGTAATACCACTTGGAACTTTCTGTTGTGATAGAAATCAGAAAGTAGTTGCCTGAGTTTGACTGGAAAGGGGCTGACGGAATTTTGAGGATGATAGAAAATCTTATCCCTGTCCTCCTCTCATCTCCTAGCGTATTGTGCTTGAAAAAGCACACTGTACTTAAAGAAAGGCATTGCTGTTAAAGATTCTATTTCAGGAAAAGAAAGAAACAGTACAAATATTACATGAAATAGATAATTTTTGGAGAAGTGTCAGTGGGGATAGAGCATAATATTCTTAATGTGATATTCTTAGAGTAAAACTTTGAAAATAATTTTGTGTTTTAAGATATAGTTTAAACTCAGTTTTAAAGAAAAACAGGTGAGTTTCTAAGAAATTTTATTTGGTTTTCAACAATTTATTCTAAACTTATTGGAATTAATTTATTCGAAGCTATAATAATCTGGGTCTCATCAAATTCTTTTCAAGGAGCCTTTTTCATTTTTCATTCTATTTTTTTTTCAAATCTGTTTTTAATGACTGATTCTACCATTTTTGTATTTAGGGCAACAGAGAAGTTTGATGATTGTAGAGCAAAACGTGAGGATCCCACCTCATGCACTGTTGATTATTCTCCTGTGTATTTTGTCAACATTGAAGTCTGGGTAGAAGCAGAGAATGCCCTTGGGAAGGTTACATCAAATCATATCAATTTTGATCCTGTGGATAAAGGTAGATATAAACCTGAATTTAAGAATTTATTAGAACATGCAGTGGTTTATAAGTTAAAGTAGTTCTAAGTTTAATTAATGTAGAAACAAGCATTTAGTTCATTATCTTAGTGACTTTTACAATTTCAGTTTATCAACGACATTTAAAGTAATTTGGAAAAAGAATAGTATCTATAATCCAACCACATTTATAGCTGTTTTCACTTCGAATGTCATCTTCTGGTATTTATCCAAATATCAAACATTTTACAGCATTATAATCATAGTATACATGTTCCATTTTTATTCTTTTTTAAAATTTCTTATAAATATTTAATTGCCTTAGTATCAGAACCTGAAAAGGTTAACGAATGTAATAAACTGACAAGGAAAGCTAAAGTTTCTTTAGAAACCTTTCCTTTCCATTATGATCGTATGGCATAGCATTGTTTTTAGAGAAATTAGTTCATTTGGTGAGAATAAATGCATAGTGTGAAAATATAAAGAGTATATTTGAGTTTGTGTAAGAAATTGTAAAAATATTTTGATCTATTTTATTCTTCAGTAAAGCCCAATCCACCACATAATTTATCAGTCAGCAACTCAGAGGAACTGTCTAGTATTTTAAAATTGACATGGATCAACTCAAGTATTAAGAGTTTTATAAGAATGAAATATAACATACAATATAGGACCAAAGATGCCTCAACTTGGAACCAGGTAAATTGAAGGTTACTGTTTATTCAAATAGTCTTTCTTCCAACCCTCTAACCTAAAAATCTCAATCATATTCTGAATGTCTTAAGTTTCTGGTTACGTGAAACATTTTACTTGACAACTCTTCTAGGTCTGTATTTCAAGCAAAGGCCAACAGGAAGACATCCATAGAAAAAATGCAGTTTTGCTGAATACAGTAGGTTTTAAGTGAAATAAAGAAGTCGTCCGGGATGACAGGGAATAGCATTTTTAATGGGAAGTGAAAGGACCACAAATAACAAGAGGCATATTAAGTAGAGGAGTAAAAATGAAGAGATTATATTGATAAGGTAGAGCAGGGGTTAGCAGAAACTATATCTGTGAGCCAAATTTAGCCTGCCATCTGTTTTTGTAAATAAAGCTTTATTGGGACACAGCCACACACATTTGTTTGCATATTAATCTCTGGCTATTTTTTCTGCTACATAGAAAGGGTTGAGTAGTTGCAACAGACACTATCTGACTCAAAGCCTAAAATATTTACAATCTAGCCCTTTATAGAAAGTTTACCAACCCATGAGTTAGAGGAAGAGATTGTGGAGAACTTGTAAGACTGAAAAGGAAAAGGACAGTGTACCCAAAGATGATGCTATCAGCAAAAGAAATACTTGGAGCTTTTTAAAAGGCTGTCACCATAGCATTAAATTCCCCATACTGTTCTTTGTTGTAACTCTGTTTATCACTAACAGTATGCTTTTGCTTTGTTTCTCTGGTTGCAATAATGAGCCCAGAAGAGAATTAAACCTATGCATGACCTTCCTACTTCTGTCCTCCATTCCACTTATCTAAAGGGCTCAGAATACAATCAGAAAAAGCAACAAACCAAAGTGCATTCATTAATGCTTCATCCTGTACAGAGAGGATACATATATACCAGAAGTCCTTCAAAATATTTTTTAATATCAGAGAATTTTAATTCATTGGTACAAAAAAGATTGACACCTATTTTGTATTCAATATTGAACTCTCAGAGTAGTAGAAAGAATGTGTTATTTATATTTAGTCCTTTTTTTCCTGAAAACCAGGTTTATCTATAGTGGTAGCTTTTGTTTTTCTTTCTTTTTTTCTTTTTTATTGAAGTATAGTCAGTTTACAATGTCCAATTTCTGACATTCAGTATAATGTTTCATTTATGCATGTACATATATATATTCCTTTTCATATACTTTTTCATTATAGGTTACTACAATATATTGAATATAGTTGCCTGTGCTATACAGTATATACTAAAATATGGAATCTAGGGGGAAAAAAGGCACAAGTGAACTTATTTACAAAACAGAAACAGACTCACAGACTTAGAAAACAAACTCATGGTTACCAAGGAGGTGGGGAAAGAGTGGGAAAGGATAAAATGGGAGTTCAAGATTTGCAGATGTTTTTGTTTTTCTTAATTGGGCTGGATATCTTCCTTTTACTTTATCTAGATCTACTCTCCACCCTTCTCCACCCTACTCCACCCTACTGTTGGTCTTGGGATGCTGACCTATGTGGATTTTATCTGTTGGTTCCCTTCTCTCTAGTTTCCTAATGAGTTTCTAGTTCATGGGAGGTGGGGGCCTCACAAGCGAAAGAAGAGATAGAAGTGAGATCAGCATATTTATTTTCCCTGCGTCTTCCCTGGAGCTTTCTGGTCTTTGAGCCTAAGGTCACTGCTCCTCTCAAGTACCGAATCTGACCCTGTTCTTTCCAGTTCTTTCAGATTCCCTCATCCCTTTGAGCCTAAAGGTGGTAACACCTACAAGCCCCAGAGTACTGCCTATATTGTCTAAGGTTTCCCTACACTCTGCCCATATTCCCTTTAGTAAACCTTCCTTTAATTAAATTCTGATTGGAATTTCCAGCTTTTTCCTGCTGAGACCTTAATAGGTACATGGAAGAAAGAAAGAAAGGAAACAAGAAAGGACTAATGTTTCTATATTTCCCAAACCTGTTAATTAACTTTACTACTTTTGACTACATTCTGACTTGGATTTATTTCTCTTCAGAACTTGAGTTAAATTAGTCTTACTCATAAGTTACTAGTCTTGTTTCATTAATTAGTTTCTAAAATCTTAGGCAGTTTGAAAAACCTATAATAAATACCTTTGGGGTTTTTTTGTTGGTCAATTTGCTTTGCTTCAGATTCCTCCTGAAGATACAGCATCTACCCGATCTTCATTCACTGTCCAGGACCTTAAGCCTTTTACAGAGTATGTGTTTAGGATTCGCTGTATGAAGGAAGACGGTAAAGGATTTTGGAGTGACTGGAGTGAAGAAGCAAGTGGGATCACATATGAAGATAGTAAGTAAATAAGTATATGAAGAAATAGAATTGTTAGAATTCTGGCTATAAATTGTGTCTACTTTTAAGAATATGGACCTCATTGCTTCTTATTTTGTGATCATTTTATTCAAACTGATATTTTACACTTTTATTTTTAAAGGGTATCAAGATACAAAATTTAATGTGCATTATTGATAATATAAACCTTTTTGATACCTAAAGAAAATTATGGAATGGTGTCTTAGATACCATGAGAAACCATTAGCTTAATGGTAAATCCAGAACATTTTATTAAAGGAGAGTGGTCCAGAGATATCTCTACTGGTCCAGAGATATCTCTACCAGAGAATTACATTCTGAATCATTTAATTTACACTATCTAGCAAAAATATGCCTTAGACCCTCACTGTCAAACATATTTGTACTATATTTTTTCTTCATTTTTTTTTTCTATCTGTATTTAAAAAGCCCCTGGAAAAACACCCTGACATTTTGATTGATTGGTTGATTTTCGTTTTCCCTTTTTTTCTCATAATAATGCAGTCCATATAGTGGAGAATCCAAAAGGCATAAAAGGATATATGATGTAAAGACTCCCTCCCCAAAGCAGTTATGTTACTGATTTCTTCTGTAGCCATCAAGAAATAGTCCTGTGGCGTATAGATTTTTATTTTGAACATTTTCCTATCATAGTCACACTCTTTAGGTATCAGTGGCAGCAGTCATGACTTTAAAACCTCTCCTGCCACCTATATCTCTTCACTTCATGGAGCTCTACCAGAGGTTTGGATAGTTATGTGAATTGAGAATGCAAAGGCAGGAAGGTAAAGTACCCTTCTCCACTAAGAATTTTCTCTCATTCTCATCAATAGCAGGAAAGAAAGTAATCCTATTATTTCTGGTTTGGGAGTCCTCAATCAGATTCCTTTGTCTTGGCGAGGACTTCTGAAACTAATATTCGAGGAGCCTTTAAGGGTACTTGTCAGTTGAGGGAGTTCCTGAACTACTTTAAATGTAGGCAAAATACTGTGGTTAGTGCCTGTGTGCATTTTCTAGGGAGATGGTACATAACCTTTGTCAAATCAAAGAGGTATCTGGAGCCCAAAACGTGGATTAAGCATTTCTTTAACTTAGTGAACTTCTGGGTTCTCTTTATGTTAGGAAATATTTCCAGCCCATAAAATTTCTTTCTTAACTTCATGTTCTTTATTCTTTTGGGGTGCTGCACTGTACTCATGTATACATCTATTTGAACCTCCTATGCTGATAGCTTTTCCCCAGCCTTCCTGGTCTGCCTTTCCCCTTTTCTCTTGTCATTGTAATTACCTCTTCATGATTAGCATATTACTGCTTAGATTTTATTCAGATTCCTCTTTATTCTATACCATATTTTGTGATTAGATTTATAAAAATTACTAGCATTTGATACATTGTTTTATAAAGTGCTTTTTCTTATGGTAGATGATTATCACAACAATCCTGTGAATTCATTTTTATCCTGTTACACTGACTTATCCCAACATAAGGCAATAAACTTATACTACATTTACTCCATTTATTTTAATTTGTCCTATATTTTAACTGTAAGCATTTAGGGGTTTTAAACATGTATTTAAATGTGATTTTTCAATTTGATTTTTAGCAAAAATAAATAGTGGTACATCTTTGGTTATTGCTTAGAATATATTTGTACCTTTACAATTTTAAGATTACAAAAGAGTTCCAATATAATCTCAATCATCAAGCTATCACCCTGACTAAAGGAACAGCCAGGCATATCATGCTGGGATAGGAAAATGCTGGTATAAGGAAAGAGTTAGAGACACCATGTAATTGAAGGGCAAGAATATTAAGAACAAAAGTAAGAGAAAAATTTCCAGGATTTTATTTTACTGTTGTAATAAAAACTTTTATTTTAAAAAGTATGTGTCATCTCTTTAGGACCATCCAAGACACCGAGTTTCTGGTATAAGATAGAGCCATCTCATACTCATGGCTACAGATCTGTACAACTCATATGGAAGGTAAAAAAAAATCATCTATTTGTAATCTTTTATCTCATATAAATATATTTTATATGGTACTATGAATAGAGTTTAATTTTTATTCATTTAATATTAGCAAAGCATTTGATAACTTTTTTTTTTTTTTGGTGGAGGTTCTGGGGCTTGAACCCAGGGCCTTGTGCATTCTAAGCATGCATTCTACCACTGAGCTATATACCCTATGCCCCAATAACTATTTTTAATAAATAGAAACACAAAGCTTTATATATACTGTGATAGAGGTCAGGCTCATAAACTGCGGGTGATCCGTCGTAGACACTTCAGCATAGATCTGTGAACGTTTTATAAGAACAGCTACCTTGTCTTTTATTGAACTTTCCTGAGTACTTCATACAAAATAATTAATAAATGTTTTGAGTAATCAAAATGTATGCCAGCAACAGGAAATAAAATTGTCATGCACTCCATAAATGTTCATGAATGGATCATACTAAAAAAAGATAGAAAAATACTCAGGCATAAAATAATTTAGGCCCACATAGCGGCAGCACAGAATGATATAAAGGACTAAAGGTTGACAAGATGATGCTACTTTTCCCACTTAGTTGAAGTCATGCTTTTACTCTTCATTCAGTGAATAGTAGTTTTATTTCAGCAGTGAGTTCAAAGTAAGGTTGCCAGTCTCTTCCTATTGAATATTTAGAGATTTGATACAATAGCAGAATTTGTGAACATGAACTCAAGATTTATGAAATACATTTTTAAAATAAACTACTTTATTACAGACATTGCCTCCTTTTGAAGCCAATGGGAAAATCTTGGATTATGAAGTGACTCTCACAAGATGGAAATCACGTTTACGAAATTACACAGTTAATGACACAAAACTGACAGTAAACCTCACAAATGATCGCTATATAGCAACTCTGACAGCGAGAAATCTGGTTGGCAAATCAGATGCATCTGTTTTAACTATCCCTGCCTGTGACTTTCAAGGTTTGTGTCCATGAAATGGAGTCTGACTTAGGATGAGAAAGGATGGATAGGTATGGACAGGGAGTAAAAAACATAAGTATTCTAAGACTGTTTCCTCAGTATTAACAATGATTATATTTTCAGAAATCAGTCATCAGCTAGATCTGTTCCATTATTGTGTGGCTCAAACTTTGCAGTAAGCAACTTAATTCATTTAAACATCTTTTGATTATCTTTTTAAAATATATTTTTAAGGTTTTAGGAACTTTATATGCATATGACTTAAATATATTGTTTTTCTGTAGCTTTACTTAGCTTTCAAAGAAGAAAAAATTGTAGCTTACATACACAAAACATTTGAAGAATTTGGGGAAAGGAATTTAAGTTTCAAAACAAATTGACTAATGTAAATTATAAATGCTTTTATTCATGGAAATACATGTTACATGCTACAAAAACATGATAGACCACATGGTTATGGAAATGAATGTAAAATATTGGAATTTCAAATTTTTAAGTGTTTGTTTATCATTATAGTATTCAAACTTTGTTTTAAAGCTACTCACCCCGTAACGGATCTTAAAGCATTTCCCAAAGATAACATGCTTTGGGTAGAATGGACTGCTCCAAATGAATCTGTAAACAGATACGTACTTGAGTGGTGTGTGTTATCAGATAAATCGCCCTGTATCCCAGACTGGCAACAAGAAGATGGTACTGTACATCGCACCTATTTAAGAGGTATACCTAGCTAAAAACATTTAAGTTGACGTCCTTTTTCTAACTCTTCAAACAGATTTTTCTTTTACATATTCTTTGCTGCTTTGTACACTTTGTGGTCCATTGAAATGACTTCCAGTTTATCATAGTTACTAGTTTTGTCTTGTTTACTATATTTGTGACTCTCAGCAAGTCACCCTTAACCTCTCTGAACTGCAGGGTTTGTTGATGGGCAAAGTGGGGTTAATACTACCCTCTTTTTATACTCCACTATTACTTTGATCATCAAAAGAATGCTCACAGAACTGTAAACTAAGAGACATAAAAGATAATCCAACCTCTGCTGCTAACTGGTATGTTCTCTGTACCTGATTAAGCTCCCTCGTCCTTCAGTGAGAAAATTCCTACAGTGTATCTGGATAGCTTATTAACTTCATACAGCTGCTGAACAAGGGAAGGAGAACTAGAACTCAGATTTGCTTGTCTTCTAAGCTGGAAGGACAGAAAGTAATGATATTATAGAGCTCCAAAATGAGTTGCTCTCATTGTAAGGTACTACTTATCCAGCTGGCTTAAAGTGATATAACAACTTTAAAGAGACAACAAAGAACTCTGTGTGGTTTTTTTAGTGAAGAAGGATAACCATTAGAATTCAGCTGCAAATAGCATGATTAGTCAGAGAAAAGCTGTTAACAGAGATATAGCTGCCATAAAGTTTAAAAGCTTTATTCGTAAAATAGGCTGTTTAGTCCTCATTAACCTATTATTTAATATAATTTTAATAACTTTGGTTGTCTAGTTGATCAGCCTTTTCCAATTAAAAGCAAGGCAGAGCTAGAAAGCAGGTTGTAACAGCCAGACAGTGGGAACCTTCTAAACGAGCACAGCACAGGCCCTGGAGACCTGCCGGCTGTGCAGGCGCCCGGTGCAGCCCCTGAGCCCTGCAGCCCCGAGGGACGTCACTGCGTTACAGCAGGATTTGGAAATTGCTCATCTTCTCGATAATGCTGAACTACCAAGAAGGTTACTCTAAGGAGACAAAGAAGCATGTATGACTGCATGAATACTAGTCAAGGAGATATAAGTTCTTGTTAAAGCTATAAACTTCAGTATAACAAACACCTCATTTTCTGATGTAGACAGCAAACCTGCTGTATAAAAAGAAATATTTTGCTATTATATGCTAAAGGAATAGATAGATTACTCTGTTAACTTGGAGAGATTATAAAGAAAGTATTTAAGATAGTTTTTCTTTTAAAATTATGTTAATTTCTCAGGGAAATAACACCAGTTACTTTTTTTCCAGTCACCTGACAAACCAGAGCCATTTGTACTTTTTGTAGCTCTAATTAGTGGCATCTTGCTCAGTGGCAGTTCTCAGAGAATTAGGTAACATGTACAAAAGTCATCAGACTGTAAGTAAGATCCAGGATAATTTGAGATCAATGTTTTATAAGTACTGAATATAAATGCAGTCATTACTTTTAATGACTATATATTTTTATCCACTGTATTGGCAATAAAAGTAATAAAAATAAAATAAAAGTATTTTTAAATAAATTTTAAAACTTTATTCTATTAAGCTTGGATCCAGTACACAGAAGGCAGTGCTTACTTAAGAAGCTGCAGTTTTTTTTAAGAAAAAGGAAAGTTCAGTGGTCATGAAATTGTAATATAAAAATAAATAATGGAATTGATAAGATTTTTTTATTATAGGAAAAAAAATACTTAATCTACTCTTTTTACTTTAGGAAACTTAGCAGAGAGCAAATGTTATCTGATAACAGTCACTCCAGTATATGCTGATGGGCCAGGAAGCCCCGAGTCTATAAAGGCATACCTTAAACAAGCTCGTAAGTTCAAACCTATTTTCTTTGAAAAATGTTGAGTCTTGTACTAATAGAGACATTTTGTCCCTTTTAAATAGGGATATGTCTCATTATGTTTAATTTGATGATGATGAAATTTTACAAAATTCTAATAATTTACTAAATTCTGATGATTTTCAGTTAGCAAATACCTTTGTTCTGTTTCAGCACCTTCCAAAGGACCTACTGTCCGGACAAAAAAAGTGGGGAAAAATGAAGCTGTCTTAGAGTGGGACCAACTTCCTGTTGATGTTCAGAATGGATTTATCAGAAATTACACTATATTTTATAGAACCATCATTGGAAATGAAACTGGTAATAAAACTATCAGTTAATAATATGTCTTCTCTTAAGCTTTTAAATACTAATTTGTCTCGTCTTCTTATGTTATACATCTTAGTATAGTATGTTAATACAGTTATATGTGTAGTAACCTCAGAAAAGAGATACCTGAGAATATGCCTTGTGGTTGCTTTCATGGTCCTATTAAAGAAACATTGTTTTCTGGTAAAATATATTTTGATTCCTTTTTAATACTGTCAAACTGTCAAATATAGGCTAAACCAAGCAGGAGTAGTTGAATAAAGCACACTTATTGATTTCTTCCAGCTGTGAATGTGGATTCTTCCCACACAGAATATACACTGTCCTCTTTGACTAGTGACACTTTGTATATGGTACGAATGGCAGCGTACACAGATGAAGGTGGGAAGGATGGTCCAGAATTCACTTTCACTACACCAAAGTTCGGTAAGAAATACGATGTTTGATCTTTTCTTTCTTTTTTCCGTTTTAAAATTTAATGAGACTAAAAATGGGCTTAATTTATATGCCAAAATTTTATTAAAAGTGCATCTTTGGAATCATATAAATGAAGTGTTAATGAATTATGATTTTTATATTATTGTAGCTGGTTATTTTTTTCAGCTATAGAAAATATTTTTCCATACCTTTTTTGTTGTTTCACTATTTCTGACTAATTTCACCAATACTCTGTAAATCCCGAAAGAATTTGTTTAACTTTCTAAATAGGTTCATTTTTTTTTTTACTGGCAGAACTTGGGTGTGGTCTCTTCTCTCGTTCTTCCTTTTATAGGCAGGTTGCTGGCACTAGTCCACCCTTCCAGTCTCCATTTCCCTACCTCCAGCTCGGTCTTTAACTTGCTGAAACTAGGCTTCCAATCCACTATTCCACTGAAACCTCTCTAGTGTCACTCATAGACGACCTCTTAGTTGCCCTATCCCGTGCATGCTTTTTAGTCATCTTTCTTCCCCCAGACTTCCAGCTTTTGATTGTTGGCCTCTCCATCCTTGAATCCTCCTCTTCCCTTAATTCTCCTCACTTTTTGTTTGTTTTTCTAATAGCACTCTCCTGAGTCTCCTCCCTCTGATATTTCCTTCTCCTTTTTGGCCATTTTAAATGTTTTATGTTCTCCAGAGCTCTGTTCTTGGGAGTATTTTCTTATCTGCCTATTCAAATTCCCTGTCTGTGACTTCAGCCATCCTCTCTTCCCTTCCCAAATACATTTTTCTTTGTTCCATGCCACAATCATCCAATTCTTCATCAAAGCTAGAAATTTAGATGCAATTGTAGTAAAATTTCGTATCTTTTTCACTTACATAAGCCAAGTATCAAGTGCAGTTGATCACGCCTTCTAATACTGCTTGTACTTACCCTTTCATAATCTTCTTTGACCTTTAACTTATCATCATTTTCCCCACCTTTGTGTCTCTTCCTAGTGTGTTGCCTTCTTCACCTCATTGTTTTGGCCTTTCCTGTAGCCTCCTGAAAGCAGACCAAAACTGCATTCTTTCCTATAACTAGTTCATTTTGAATCATTATAGAAATCACCTTATTTTATTATAATTGTATTTGTAACCACCACCCCCAAGCACCAACATAGTGAATGATAAGTAGTAAGTTACATATTCCTTGTTGGTTGAATGAGAGTATAAATGGATAAGTGACCACATAAAGTACATATTTATTAAAAGATCTTGAGCTTTTTGCTCTGATGGCCAATAATGAATGTAGTCTATGGGATAAGATTTGTGGTGACAATGTTAATCAAATATATATACCTGTAACAAATACAGGCTTCCCCCACTATCCAAAAGCAGAGTGTACCTATCAAACCTTTCATAAGCCAAAATGGCATAAAGTGAAGAGTATCCCCCACTTTCTGAAAGTTCATACTAAGCCACTTCAATAGTAGTACCGTTATTGTACTAACTGTAGATCTTTTGTAAAAGCTTAGTGGCGTAATGCAAACTTTCCACAAGTGGGGGGGATACCTATAATATCTGAAATAAATAAAACTTTGTGCCGTGATCTTTAGAAAAATAAACTTTAAAACTTTTAATTATCCTATACAGTAAAATACAAAGAGGAAGAAAAATCATTCCTAATCCCTCATCCAAAATAATCTTTACCATATTTATATATCCTTCTAGTCTTTTCTAGGCATACATTTTTTTTTCCAAAAATGAGATCATACTTACTAGTATTACTTCATCATCTACTTTTTCCCCTGTTGTATTATGTTTTATGGATCCATTATGGCTTTTTCACGTGGCATGGACTTGGCTTCCAAGGACCTTATAGCTTAGTTGAAGAAATATGACAAAAGTAAAAACAAATGGAGAGCTGTTTAAACCATGGAGACAGTAAATAGAGCAGGAATTTAAATATATGCATAAGGAGTTTAACCTTCAAAGAATTAGTGGAGGAGATAATACTTGAGCCTTGAAATTAAGATTTGAACAAACAGGAAGAAGAAGGCATCTTAGAGTTGCATTAGCAAAATCCCAGGGCATGAAAACTTAATAAGCAGAAGTTCAGCACTGATAAAGAAAAGGTTATGCCTGTATTTGATTTGGCATACATATATGAGAAGCTTAGAACTCAAGAGTTAATATTTGCCAGCCTGTAGTTTATTCCCGAGTATTGATCTGATTTCTTTATTTCTATTAGGTTTTATAGGATGTAAGTTACTTACAAAGGGATATGTGTGGTGGAAAGATAAGATTAAGTGCATAATGTATGACTGTAGTATTATGTTCATACATTTTTCCTGTAAAGAGACTAACTAAAGGGCAGATGGAGGAGTTAACCAGAAACAACCATAAGATAAATCATTAAGGAAAAAATCTCTAGGAGGCAGAGGCCATGATGGCGGAGTAGTAGGACGCACGTAGCTCACCCTCTCCCACAGACACACCAAGACTCACATCTACGGACCCACTCAGCCAACCAGAGCACCTGCAGAACTCTGACAGAACATTGTCCTCTTCAAAAGACAAAAATGCCAAAAATCTGGTAGGAAAAAGGAAAAAAAAAGGACGACGAAAAGGCAAAACAGTGCATGACCAGTCCCGCGGGGAGGGAGCGGCAAAGGAGGACTGGTGCTCGTTCGCTGGGGCTCCCCATCTCCAGCGGAGGGGCCAGCGGGACAGAGGGGGAGCCTATGAGGCTCAGATCTGTATGGAGCAGCCCTTGACTGACAGAACTGGGTTCAACGGGCACAGAATCCCTGAGACATCCAGGCTGAGACCCGAGCTGGGAGCTGGGGGCCCAGACAGGTGGCCCGAACTGGGAGGAGGACGGGGACAGCTGCGCTGAGACAGCCCTGGGAGACTACATGGGCTACACAACGTGGATGAGTGGGTGCACAGGACAGAACAACCTGGGCTATCCATGATACAGCACGGCTGATATGCCCTGTGAGGAAGGGTGCATACCCTCATCTCTGAAAACCCAGGGAAGGTTTTCAGTGAGGAGAGGCGGGGCTCAAGCACAGCCGCCGTATCCTCCATTGCTTGGCACCCAGGTGGGGGCAGGGGGCGAAACCTGAATCCGCGCCTGGGGGCTCAGCAGCCTCGGAGGCCAGTGACTTGTTTGCATGCGGAATCAGATAGGATCCTTCCGCCCTGGTGCCTCGCAAAGTTTCCTGCCGTCAGAACAAACAAGGAGCTGAGTTTGGACACGGAGCAGGGGCGGGGCTGTTCCACAGTCTTCCCGGGCCTGACTGCAGAGTGCCAACCCGGGGCAGAGCACGCGGTGGCGCAGAGCTGCGGAGTGACCGGTGCCGGGAGATGGCAGGTAGCCCCTAGCCTTTCCAGCAGGCGCTCTGTGCTGGGAGGGTGTGCGATCTGCTTGCCGACAGGCACTGGGAGCAGCACAGATGAGGGCGCCAACAGAGGGCCTCTGGAAACAACAAGCCGAGCTCTCAAAACAGGGCAGACAGAAAGACTTCTCATTAAGAGCACACAGTCTCCAGGAGAACACCCCCCTCCCCATTTTAGTTTTATAGTTTTTTGGATCTGTTTTTGCCTGTTGTATTCTCTGTTACTGTTTTGATTTTTGCTTTTTAAACAGTTGTATCCTCCCAGTTCTGGTCTCTTTTGAATTTTGCTTTTAAAATGGTATGATTGTTATTTTGAAAGATCCACGTCATGTCATTTTTCTCTCTCTTGGTTTTGATCACCTGTTGTTGATTGTACACAGGTTTCAAATGTGTTTTTGTTCTCTTTTGTCCTATTTTGGAGCTTTTTGGGAGACATCTCAACCCAATTGCTGTTCTGCTTCAATTTACTCTTAAGTGGTTCATTGTACGTTTTCAGGCCTTTTTTTTCTCCCGTTTTGTCGGAATTCTCTCTTTATCATATCTTTTTTTTTTTTGTCTGTTTGATTTCTAATTATTTCTGGAAGGTTGTGTGTGCTTCTAGTTTTGATTCTTTTTGTGTATTTCTCTTAAAGTAGTTTTACATTATTGTTTTTTAAAGAGACTCCACTTGATTGCATTTTCACTTCTTTTGGGTTTAATCTCCTGTTGATTGTAAATGGGTTTCAGGTGTCATTTTTGGATCTTTTTTCCTTTTAGTTTTTTTGAGGGTTTTTAAAAAGATCTCAATTCGAATGCTAGTCTAATTCAAATTGCTCTTCTGTAATTGACTATACCCTATTTTCAGGCCTTTTTTTTTTTCCTCCCTTCTCTTAAAATATCTATCTTTTTTTATCTTATATTTTCTATTACCTTTCTAATTTCTATTTTCTAAACATTTGTATATGCGTCTAGTTTTAATTCCTTTTTAAATTTTTCTGTTAAAGTAGTTATATTATTATTTTCTTAAAAACAAAATCCACCTGATTTCATTTTCATTTGGTTTTGATCTCCTGTTACAGATTATAAATAGGTTTCAAATATCGTACTTGGATCTTTTTCCTTTTTTTTAAGGGATTTTACAGAAAAAAAAGACGTCTCAACTCGAAAGCTAGTATGATTCAAACTGTGCTTCTATAATTGATTATACACTGTTTTCAAACCTTTTTTTCTCCCTTCTTTTAAAATTTTTTTTAACTTTTTAAGTTTTATTCCTACATAGGCATTAGACAGATAAATAAACTCCTCTAAGGACCACAATAGATAACTGATACTCCATAGCCACAGTACCAGAGACATAT